TCCTCTTTTTTACTGACCCTCTACTTTACCAAGCATTATGTCCTTCTCCAGGAACTGATCCCTCCTGATAACACGTCCAAAGTATGTAAGACATAGTCTTGCCATCCTTGCTTCTAAGGAGCATTCTGGTTGTACTTCTTCCAAGACAGCTTTGTTTGTTCTTTTAGCAGTCCAGAGTACATTCAATATTCTTCACTAGCACTGCAATTCAGAAGTGTCAGTTCTTCTTTGGTCTTTCTTATTCATTGACCAGCTTTTGTAGGCATATGATGCGATGGAAAATACCATGGCTTGGGTCAGGTGCACCTTAGTCTTCAAGGTGACATCTTTGCTTTTCAGCACTTTAAAGAGGTCTTTTGCAGCAGATTGTCCAATGCAATGTGTCTTTTGATTTCTTGACTTCTGCTTCCATGGGTGTTGACTGGGGATCCAAGCAAAATGAAATCCTTGACAACTTCAATCTTTTCTCCGTTTATCATGATGCAAGACATTAGCCACTATTATGTTTAACTTTTGAGTCTTATCCAGCAATTTTTGTCCAACTATATATAGTTCATAGTTTCTTGTATCTTCTTTTGAACCAGCTTTACCATCCTGCTGGTTCTCTCATTGATGAGTTAAATAAATCTTTGGCATGTGCTCACAGTATATTTGAATGAGAATCATGTTTTTAACTTTTTGAAAATTATACTTTGGCAAAGTTATTCTTTACATTAAAAATAATTGTTTATTGCAGAGGATTAAATTCATTCAATTAGTATTTGTTGAGAATCTGTTCTGTAAAATGTCATGAGAAAGGCCTATGTAGTTTATTGGATATGAGCTAAGTCCTGAACTGTGCTGTATTTCCTAATGCTGCTGTAACAAATTACCACAAATTTACTAGCTTAAAGCAGCACGAATTTATTCTCTCATAGTTCTGGAGGTCAGAAGTCTCAGATGGGCCACAGAACTGCATTCGTTTTGGAGGCTGCGGGCGAGAATTCATTCCCTTGCCCTTTCTAGTTTCTAGAGGCTGTCTAAAGAGCCCTGGTGGTGCAATAGTTAAGCACAAGGCTGGTGGTCCAAACCCACAAGTGGCTCCTCGGAAAAGACAACCTGGCAATCTGTTCCTATAAAGATTATAGCCTTGGAAACCCTATTGGGCAGTTCTGCTGTGTCATATAGGATTGGGATTGATGCATCGGCACACAACAACAACAGGGGCTGTCTGCATTCTTTGGCTTGTGGTCCCAGCCTCCACCTTCAAAGCCAGCAGTGTAGCATCTTTCAATCTCTCTCTCTCTCTCTGTGCTGCTTTTGTTATATTTTTCTCTCTGCTCTTCCTGCTTCCCTCTTATACTCTTGTGATTACATTGGGCCTACCCAGATAATCCAGGATAATCTCCCCACCTCAAGATCCTTAACTTAATCACACCTGCAAAGTTCCCTTTGTCATGTATGGTAAAATAGTCCCAAGATCTAGGGGTTAAGACGTGGACATCTTTGGGGGGACATTTCAGCCTACTACATGTGATATGCTCAAATCGTTGTTGCCACTGAGTAGATTCCCACTCATCACGACCCCATGTGTGCAGAGTAGAACTGCTCCATGGGGTTTTCAAGGCTGTGACTCTTTGGAAGCAGATCACTAGGCCTGTCTTCTGAAGAGCCTCTGGGTAGGTTCAAACTGCCAGTGTTTGAGCTAGTAGTCAAGCGCTTAACCATTTGCGCCATATAGGGACTCCTTGGGAGTGTAAAATATGAATTTTGGTAGTTGTCCTCACAGATACGAGGGGTTAGAACTTCAATGTATCTTTTTAGGGGACACAATTCAACCCTTAACACTAACTACAGCCTACACTCAAAAAACCAAAAACTAAACCTGTTGCCGTTGAGTCGATTCCAACTCATAGCAGCCCTACAGGGTGGAGTAGGACTGCTCCACAGGGTTTCCAAGGAGTGGCTGGTGGATTTGAACTGCCGACCTTTTTGGTTAGTGGCTGTAGCTCTTAACCACTATACCACCAGGGCTCCGCCCACACTCAAAGGGAGTGGAATTAGTCTCCACCATGTGAGGAGAGGAGTATCACATTTTAAAACCCCCTACCTAAATAAATAGCCTACTTGGAGGAAAATTCCAGACCTTCTAACTGTGGCCAATTTTCTTGAGAAATAAATAGACTCTAATATTATGATATATTATAAAATATCAATGAGGCAAATAATGTGATATTGGTGGAGGAATATACAGACTGATTTATGGAACAGAGTAAGCAGTCAAGAAACAGACCTTAGCATTAATGTGCATTTAGTAAGAAGTCTCAATTCAATATGAAGGAAACGTGATTTCATCAATTATACTAAGGCAATTGGCTATCGATTTTGGAAGAAAGTTAAAGCCTCATGGCCATAGCATTCAACAGAATAAATTCCAGAATGTTAAATAAATTCCAAGTAAAATTTTAAATCATAAAGCAGCACGAACAAAACATGGATGAAAATTTGTATGATTTCAGGATATATTTTTAGAATTTATTTGCTATAAAAATGGAAAAGTCACAAGAAATTTGAATACTGAATTACATAATGATAACAAAAATGTAATAAGAAATATGTATGCATAAAATAACAAACTATCAAAATATTTTCCACGTGTTACAGAGAAAGTGTTAACATAAAACACAAAGTCATAAAAATCAATCTTAAAATTCTTTAAACACTTTAGAAAAATCTTCAAAAATAATTTACAAAAGGCTATGAAATATGTAAAAGATAAATTACATAATGTAAATTAAGACAAATATGTATCATTGTAAAACCATCAAATTGACAAAGAATAAGGAGAGAAAGGAGGGCAGGAAGGAGGAAGAAAGGAATCCAGTGTTGATGATGATATTATGAGGTGAACACTTTTGTAAATAGTTTGTGTGAGTATAAATAAGTAGTCTTTCTGGTATGCAATTTGGTAATGTGTTATCTAGGAGTCTAAAACGTTTTAGCCCTAAGGAAGTAATCAGAGTTGTACACAATGAATTATATGCAAGGGTATTTACCACAGTGATACTTACAGTAGTGAAAAATTGGTAGCCATCTGAACGCCAATTAAGAGAAATAGATACATCATGACAAAATTATGTTTTAGAAGGCTACTTCTGCATGACAAATGTTTGTGTTACAAGTTAGAGAATGAAACAGGATATAAAGGTTCTTCATAATATAATATAATGTATAAAGGACCCAAATGCTAGCTGAGGTTCCTTTTTTTTCCTAAATTTTATTTATTTTGTTGTTGAAAATATACACAGCAACACACACACCAGTTCAACAGTTTCTACATTTACAATTTAGTTACACTGAATACATTCTTCAAGTTGTGCAACCATTCTCACTCTCCAAAAGGAGGGTTGTTTCTCCCTCATTAACATAAAGTTACTGCCCCCTAAGGGTCCTATCTAATCTTTTGAGTTGCTTTGTCAGTTTGATCTCACACAGTGCTTAAAAGAGCATAATGTTAGGGAAAAAAAAAAGAGCATAACGCTCAAGGCAGGCCTTTTTCACTAGTTAAATGAAACTATTGTTTGGTTTTAAGATGACTTCAGGGATATTTTTGGTTTAAGGTATAAAGATTATCTCAGGGCAATAATTTCAGGGGTTCATCCATCCTCCATGGCTCCAGAAAGTCTAGAGTTCATGCGCATTTTAAATTCTGTTCTGCATTTCCCCCCTTTTGATCAGAATTCTTCTATGGAATCTTTGATCAAGTGTTCAGTAATGGTAGCCAGATACAATCTAGTTTTTGTGGTTTTATGGCAAAGGAGACAGTTGTTCATGGAGGCAATTAGCCACACATTCCATATCCTCCTGCTATTCCTAACTCTCCTTCTTCCTTTATTGTTCCAGGTAAATAGAGACGAATTGTTGTACCTTGGATGGTCACTTGTAAGGTTTTAAGACCCCAGGCACCACTACACAATGAAGTAGGAGGTAGAACAGAAGCACTAAACATGTTATTAGGCCAATTAACTGGTATGTCCCATGAAACCATGACTGAAAACCAAATTCCATGAGGTGTTTGACTATACATAAGCAGCCTTAGCAGCTGCTCTTTTTTTTTTTTTTGGTCATTGTTATAAGAAGTTTCTTTTAATTGGTGGGATTAGAGATGATTTTTTAAAACTTTTTTTTCTGTCTACGTTTATATTTTCCGATTTTTCTATAATGGATGTGTATTTATAAATGGAAAAATTTTATTATTTAAAAAGTAAACATAATAAGATAGATTGGAAGAATGGGGAAAGGAAGTTCTCATGCTGATTCTGCCATACAATCATTAATCCTTTCACCCCCTTCTTGAAATTTCCCATAATGGATGAGAACAAAATGATGTAAAGATGTTGTTTTTATTTTTGAAGTATCACCAATAATGCTTTTTAAAATGCCAGTTTTATACCAGATATTTGTGTATTTTATTTTTACAACTTCTCAACACTGGTCAGTCTGATGAACATTTCCCAAGACACAGTCAATAGAGAGAAGAAAAATAAGAGTTTCTGGGTGGAAACATGAAGAATCATTAGAGGTCTTAAAGGGACCTCTGTCAATTATTCTGCAAATATTTATTGAATGCCCAGTATGTGCAAAGTGCTATATAGTGTTGTGTGAAGACATCAAAGAAATAGGAAAGTTCTTTGCCATCGCCTGAAGGAATTCATTAATTCGATAAATACGTGCTGTTTGTTTACCTTAGCTCTAGGCACTGGGGATGGATCAGTGCACAAAACAGAAAAAAATACCTGCCCATCAGGAGTTCACTCTTTCTTATTTTAAATTATAATATCTGCCTTTCAGGAACTTACACTGTAATTGGGAGCTAGAAATAGGAATTTGGGCTTTATGAGGTAGAAAATCCAATTCCCTACTTGTTTTGGTCATCTAATTCCTGAGTTTATCATTTTCTAAAGAATTATTTCCCATCATTTACGTGAATCCAGAAACTCCTACATTTCCTAGATCAATACATGTCTTTTAATTATCTTATTTAGTGCATCTTTCAGCTCCTTGTTTCTCATACTGTAGATTAAAGGATTCAAGATGGGTGTAACAAAGGTGTAGACAACAGAAACTACACGTCCCATTTCTGGGTTGTAGCTGGAGCTTGGGCGTAAATAGATAAGGCTACAACAGCCGTACTGGAGAAGAACCACAGTCAGATGAGACGAGCAAGTAGAGAAGGCTTTGTGCCGTCCCTCTGCTGAGCGGATCTTCAAAATGGTAACTGTAATGAAGATGTATGAGATGGAGATAAGGGAAAAGGGGATGGTAAGAGTGATGACACTGGTGATGAAGATCATGGCTTCTGGCATTCGAGTATCTCCACATGCCAACCGCAAAATAGGGAGTACATCACAATAGAAGTGAGTGATTCTATTGTGGTCACAAAATGACAGATGGAAAATAAAAAATGTCGGTAATAAGGCTAGAATGAAACCCAGAACGAGGGCCCCCACAGCCAGCTGGGCACACAGCAGCCATCTCATGACAAGGGTGTAAGACAAGGGATCCCGGATAGCTACAAACCGATCATAAGCCATGATTCCCAAGAGGATGCAGTCAGCACTGCCCAGAAAGACAAAGAAGAACATCTGTATGCCACAGCCGGTGAAAGAGATGGGTATTCTCCCCATGGTTGGCAGGTTGACCAAGGCCAGAGGGGCAATAGTAGAAGAATAAAAGATTTCCAGAACTGCCAGTTTGGCCAGAAAGAAATACATGGGAGTGTGGAGTGAACGCTCAGCCCAGACAGTGAGAAGGACTGTGGCATTACCAATGAGGCTGCCGATATACATTAACAGGAAACTCACATAAATAAACATCTGTACCTTCAGGGTAGGTGAAAATGGCTGAAAGTGGAACTGGATCTCTCCAGTTTGGTTTTTATCCCTCATAAAACCACATTGACACATTGGATTTTCTAGGACAAAAGAGAAAATACATTAGGAAAGAAAGTGCTGTGTCTTCAGGATGAAAGTGATGGCAATGTCTTACCATCTATAGCTTTTATAATTACGGAGATGAATTTATGCTATGCAAGCCACCCCCTATTCTAGCTTGTGTTTGTCACTCATGTTTTCAAGAGCATTGGCTGGAGTTAACTATAAAGTCTATGACAGTGAATAGGGGCCAAGTTAATTTGCCCCATGTGGCAACTGAGCTGAAGACTTTGACTTCATTTTTGTTTTGCAAGAATTGCTAAACTAATAACCCCTGACCTTCTAAACCTGCACATTTCCTAGCAATAATCTACTGACCATCAAATATGAAGTCACAATGATCCTGATTCCATGCCTATTATATGTATTGGGGTCACACTGTCCTATACAAAGAGTCCTCCTTCACTTTTTTTTGAAGGATTGTCTTTCTAGAGAGAAGAGGGGATCAGCTTGTGCCAGTTCTGCAGCACTAAGCATGATGACTCCATTACTGGTTTGTGGTTGCAGAGTCAGCTCTCAGCCTTCTAGTACATTGACCCTTAATTGTAGCCACAACCTCCCCACACCTTTTGTAACTTTTCTCTACCCTTCGAACCAAGAGTTAAGAGAAGCACAGCAGTTTTATAAACAGCAGCAATATAGACTTCTGTCTTTAGACAGAGATAAATTCCTCTCCTCTTCACAACTGCAATATGCATACTTTCACGCATATGGTAGAGTAGCAAGTAGAATATCTTGAACACTTTCTAAAATGATTATTTTACTTTTATGGTAATTAGTTTTATATATGTCTTTTCTTCCTCATAGATATGTAATATCCTGCAGGGCAAGGACTGTATCTTATTCCTCTCCCTCTAGTGCCTAGAATAAGCTAAAGTCAAACCAGTTGCCTTCGAGTCCATTCCAACTCGTGGTGGTCCCATGTGTGTCAGAGTAGAACTGTGTTCCATAGAGTTTTCAATGCTGATTTTTCAGAAGTAGATCGCCAGGTCTTTGTTCGGAGGTGCCTCTGGCTGACACTTAACCATTTGTGCCACCTAACGACTGACCAATAAATGTTTATTGAACGAATAGGTCTCTTTCACAATCAGGCTAGGCTTTCATTTATACAGAGTACATTGTCTTGTAGAGAGTAACCTCAGGGTTCATGGAAGGAAAACATCCCTTTTACGGGCCTGGTACAGCTCCGTCCCTTTGTATTTAGAAAACATGGTCGGTGAAATTTTACCCTTCTTATTAGTACATGTTAGGTCCCTAGGTGGCACAGTCGGTTTGCACTGGACTATGGATGGTGCAGTGGTTAAGATTTCAGCTATTAACCAAAATGTTGGCAGTTGGAATCCACCAGCCATTCCTCGGAAACCCTATGGGTCAGTTCTACTCTGTCCTATAGGGTTGCTGTGAGTCAAAATCGACTTGATGGCAACAGGGTTTTTTTTACTAGACTAAAGGTTAACAGTTTGAACCCACCTGGCAGTGCCATGGAAGAAAGACCTGGTGATCTGCTTCCATAAAGATTACAGCCAAGAAAACCCTATGGAGCAGTTCTACTGTGTAACACACAGGCTTGCCATAAGTTGGAATCGACTGGATGGCAATGGGTTTGGTTTTGGTTTTATTAGTACTTACCAGTTTAACTTTAAATAATTCAGTAATGAAATGTCACACTGGTTTCCTGTATGAGGAGAATATCTTCTCTTTCCATCTCCCTGAATCTCTGCTTGAAGGAGATCAGGGTGATGAACATTCCTGTCTGGGCACTGCCTGGCTTGAGCCTCACATTGAAAGGCACTGGACACTGAATGCAGAACATTCTTTGGATTGTTGAGGGTAGAGCAGGCTAGAACAGACCCTCCAAGGGAAGCCAGAGAGCGTAAAACAACCAGAATGCTGTTTCAGATGCTTCTGTTGTTAATTAATATTTCCCCTACCCAACAGCAACTACATAGAAAGTCACTCAAAATCTCATGTGTTTTGTTAGTTACTGTTTGGATCCGGGTCAGGCCCATTCTTTTTTTTTTTTAAACATTTTATTGTGCTTTAAGTGAAAGTTTACAGAGCAAATTAGTTTCCCATTAAATAATTTATGCACAAATTGTTTCGTGACATTGAGTGCAACCCCCGCAATGCGTCAGCACTCTCCCTGTTTCCATTCGTCTGGTTTTCCTGCCCCTTCCTGCCTTCTCATCTTTGCTTTTGGGCAGGTGTTGTCGATTTGGCCTCATACACTTACTGTTCTAAGGAGCACGTTCCTCATAGGTGTCATTGTTTGTTTTATAGGCCTGTCTAATATTTGGCTGAAAGGTGAACTTCAGGAATGACTTCAGTTCTGAGTTAGAAGGGTATCTGGAGGGCCATAGTCTTGGGGGTTCTTCCAGTCTCTGTCAGACCAGTAAATCTGGTCTTTTTTTTTTGTGAATTTGAATTTTGTTCTACATTTTTCTCCCGCTCTGATCTAGACTCTCTATTGTGATCCCGGTCAGAGCGGTTGTTGATGGTAGCTGGGCACCATCTATTTCTTCTAGTGTCAGGCTAGTGCTGTGATTCATGTGGCCCACTAGTCCATTGGACTAACTGCTTCCTGTGTCTTTGGTTTTCTTCTCCTTTGCTTTGAGTGGGATGAGACCAATAGTTGTGTCTTAGATGGCTGCTTGCTATCTTTTCAGACCCCAGATGCTAATCACTAAAGTAGGACTTAGAACATTTTCTTTATGAACTATCTTATGCCAACTGATCTAGATGTCCCCTGAGGCCATGATCCCTAGCCTTCAATCCCAGCAACTTGGTTTGTGTCTAGGAAGCATCTGTGACTGTGCCTCCTGTGTGCTGTATTACATATATGAATATACATGCTGCTCATACAAATATGTATGTAATCAGGCCCATTCTTACAAGTAGGATTTGAAGGGTCTTATAAAGGCCCTCATTCATAAAAGTAAAAATTTTCCCTTGGTAAAATGAAAATGCACCCAGATAAAATGAAAATGGGAACTAGGATGGATGGAAATGGAGGGTATAAATTTAGAGGATTGGATATAATACTATAGAATCTGTCAATAGCACTTTACCTGATTTTATTTATCAGAATCAATTCAGCTTCTCTGTTAGGCCTTGGAAAGAGAGGAAACTTTAGAGCACTGTGCATATGGAGGAGCCCTGGTGGCACAGTGGTTGAGAGCTCGGCTGCTAACCAAAAGGTTGGCAGTTTGAATCCACTGGCTGCTCCCTGGAAACCCTATGCGGGCAGTTCTACTCTGTCCTATAGGGTCACTATGAGTTGGAATCGACTTGATGGCAACGGGTTAGGTTTGGGTTGGTGGATGCAAATGGTTAAGCACTTGACTACTAACCGAAAGGTTGGCAGTTTGAACTCACCCCGAGGCACCTTGGAAGAAAGGCTCGGGGATCTGCTTCTGAAAGCTCACAGCCTTGAAAACCCTATGGAGCAGGTCTACTCTGCAGCACATAGGGTTTCCATGAGTTGGAGTTGACTCAGTGGCAACTGGTACTGGTGGTGCATGTGGGAAGAGAGGGTAATATGACCTGGGCATAAACCTTGGAGAGCTACTGGATGTCCAACAGTAACTAAAGGAAAATTTATTATGCACCACTTCATACATTTTAAATGTATTTATGATCCACCATCTCATTTAGTTTTCTTAAAATGTTCAGTGGGTAGGAAGATGTATATTAATATCTCTGTTTTGTAGTACAGGCATAGAGAGGGTAATTAAGTCACCCATTATCCTTCAGTGATTTAGAGGTAGAAGAGAATCTAGCATTTAAATGTCCTGGTACTTATCAATGATTACATAAACCTCATCTTGTTACTTGTCACAGGACCATGGATCAGTGTGGTCCCATCACTAACACTCCCAATAAACTCAGGACAAACCAGCAAATGGCTCCCCCCAGGTCGAGGTTCTCATAGACATGGAAAAATGATCTTAATGATACTAGAGGAGAAGATGAAGAGAATTCCACCCAGAGCGCCTAGCTAATCCCTTGGCTCCACAAGGTTCCTGTAGCGTTGGGGACTACTCAAAAAGTCCTACTGATTCAAATCCAAATTACATGATTGAGATTTGGCTTAGCCTGGAAGAAGCTCAGATATATTTAGAACTGAAGTTGTGGTTTACAGTCACCAAATGTACCAATTGGCGTTCATTGAAAGCACAATAGATCCGACTGATTGGTTGATAAACTTGGCAGTAAAGCTTAGCAGCGTTAAGAATTTGGGCACTGGAGTCAAGCAGACCTGGGATCATCACCTGACTCATTTACCAGCTGTGTGATCTTAGCAAATTAATCCCTGTGAACTTCAGTTTCCTTATCTTCAATGTGAGAATAATATTAACATCTGTCCTATAAAGTTGTTGTAAAGATTAAACGAGGTAATGACTATAAAGTGTTTTGTACAGTGTCTGGTGTTGGTAAGTATTCATTAAAGGCTAGATATTACCATGATTGATTTAAAAAAAAACTGTACCAGTGGCCCTCTGTGAGTCTGTCCATAGACAACGTGAGTGCTTATTCTGATATAACAATGTGTAAAATCCCCTATTATAATTTTTCCTGCTTTCAGGTCTTCATATGCAATAGCATGTCTTCCTGTACCTAATTATCTCCACTGGACAAAGTGTAAGTATGTTGGTCTGAAATTATTATTCCAATTTGAACCAGGACAATCTAGTCCCACAGGGACTCCAGTGACCATAAAGGTGTACCTATCCCTGTTAGAAGTTTCCTGTGTAAACTGGGCTAAGTATCTTTACTTTTCCAGATTTTAATTACTCTAATCGATGAATTTTTTTTATATTATATGTCCCTTTAGTCCACTTTATCCAAGAGGGAGAGGGCTGTGAGTCTTATATCTCGTGCAGACCATTGTACACCCAACACATTTCATAGTATCTGAATACAGGAGGCAAGATAAGAATGTATACATGAATGCATGGGTGAAATGATTGTTTTCTTACTTGAATATGCACAGGAGAGGGAGAATATATACTATACTATATAGCTTCATCTGGGAGATTTTAAGGTCCTTGTAAAT